GTTTTACTTGTATTTCTAGAAAACAATTTACACAAGAGAAATAATTAAAAAATATTATAAAACTTATTAATAATGCATAAGCTATTGCTCCAATAAGGGCTGACCATTTAATCAGGTGATTGACCTTGTAAATCTGATACAACCACTAGTGGTTGTATCAGATTTACAACACGGTCGTCACCATTGAGACAACCCAACACTAGCAAAGGTCTCAGTTTTAGTGTCGCATCATAGACCTTCACTAGGTTTTGAAGCAATCAAAGACGGATAACAGAACTCGCTTATGCAACAGATGGCTTGCTTTCCATGTGGGATGGATAATTATTCAAAATGTTCTGTGTTGCAGTAAATTGCGCATGCTTAATAGGGACTAAACTCAGCAGTTACCTTATTTGTCATTTTTCGTCATTTATCTCACTGTAATTCATGTTAATTTGTGTTGGAGTTTTATAAGTCGTTTACAACATTCGCGTCCGTGTTGTATGGGAATTACAATCTCTCGCCTGCGGCTCGAGATTGTAATTCCCATACAACACGGCCGCTCATGTTGTAAACTATACTTAACTACTGGATTTCATTGAGCCTGGCTCACCAATTAGTTTAGCTTGAGTTCATTATTGACTATCCTCAAAATTCCACTACCAGAATAGCCCATGTTCCGAGGATAGGAAACATTAGGAATATTTAAGAAATTTACGTATAGATTCGAGGCTAAGCCCACTTGCATGGGATTTTAAAAATAGTCAGTACTCAAGTTTGAAGAGACAAAGTTCATTGACAGCTAATCAGAAACCGTGGTAAGAGCAGTCATACCAWTGAAGGTCCTATAGAGCTAATATTGGTTATCATCATTTGCTGTTTAGGGAACTTTGTCTAATGTTTTGAGAAATGATGGGAACTAGCAGTAAACTAGTGTGAGCTGTGTCGGTGTTTCAAAGAAACAGTTGTGTAAAAAGATAAATTTAACGCTGTAAAAAAAATAGGTGAAATAACTTACTGACATTTCAGATATTAATTCTTCGTTGTCCTTACTATGACAAATGATAAACGCCTGAATGTCAGTAAGTTATTTAACCTACTTTTTACGGTATTAAACTTATCTTTTTACACTCTTCCTTGGCTTCTGTATAACACTGTAAAAGGAATACAAGCAAC